TTTTGCTTCATTAGAAAGATGAGATTAACTAATGGATTACTCAAATTGCCATTCATACTTAAACTATGTCATCTGAAAAGAAAAAGAAACAAGAAAAAAATAAAAAACAAAGCTTACTTTCACAATAACGAATGTTCCATATATATATATATATTTGATAAAGACAAAAGAGAAAAAGAAAAACAATATTAACTTTCAATGAAATGAAAAAGAAAAAGCAAGAAATTCTGATGATTATAGTTTTTTTTAAATCTACCATGCCGTTGTCATAATTGATGTTACCATAGTGCTCGTCGCTATTGCCGTCAATAGTGTCACTGATAGTATTTTTCATAAAATTGTAGTTTTTCTCGTTTTTTTTTTGCTACAAGAAACATATGTGCAAGTAGTTGAGTGTGTTGAATGTGTTGTCGACGATTACGATAGGTTTTTTGATCAATGCATGTGTCTTTCATAAATAGTTGGAAATCAATAAGAAAATTGTCTACTGCTCTTTCAATGAAATCCATTGATGCATCATTGATAATAAAGGATAGTTCAATAAATAATCGTTCATTTTCAAATTCATCCACATTGGAACAATAACACAGGGCACGAACAAATGTATTATAAAGTAATAAATTATCATCATTTTCCTTTAACATTCTTGTTTCCAATAGATAAGGTAATGTATAAGGTTCGAGATAAAAATCATGATAGACTCTAGTCTGTAATTTACCTTCCTGTTGACATATTTCAGCACCAAGATATTCGATCTTGTCATCAATTGATATGGTTATTGGTGTAGGAATATATTCTGGACTAGTAAGATTGAGTTCATTTAGTAACGTGAAAAGTTCATCTTTCGATTCATTCCAAATGAAAAATATTTGATTAAAATATCTTCCAACAATTTCATTCTTGTCCAATAATTTTGAATATAAAATGTGTGTTAAATTATATAGATATATATCAACTAATCCATGAATTAGTGATGAATAGCTTGAGCCACCAGTCGTCTGTCGATATAATTGATTATCATAGATACAAAATTGATTTTTTAAAATCAATTCAACAAATTGAACAATCGTTGTTATTGATATTTCTTCAATTTTTTTACTTTCTACATATAAACGTAGAAATTTTGCTAAAGCTTCAATGAGTAAATCATGAGATAGTGTAGTACAAAGACCATGAAAAACGATTTTAACAAAAAGAGTTGTTGACCGAAGTAAACCTTGTTGTGCATATTTTTCTACAGCTTTAATGACATGATGTCCTTCGAAAAACGTAAAATTACTATGAACAATACCATTGATGAGAGGACGAAGAAGTCCATGAATAAAGGTGACAATGGCATGAAGTGATTCTTCTTTGTATCGTATCGTTGCTGGTTGGATAGAGATTTTATTCTGAAAAGATAAAGATGATTAAGTGAATTGAAACAAAATGAATATATGTATATGGTCATTTACTTGACGTATTTCTGGTATAAAATAAAGTTGATTCACGCATTGTATTGTGGTTTGATTGTAGTACATCATATTTTCGTATTGTTCAGTAGTAATTGCTTTTCGAAGGAATAAAGTATGCAATGTTTTAACCACTAGATTACTCATCTTGATTAAAGTTTGTTGAATAGGATCGTCGTCTGATGTTTCGAAATCCATTGAACCTATCCGTTGGAAAACATTATTTTGTTCCATATAATTATTTATTTTTTGTTTCCATTGCTCTTCAGGATAAATACATAAGACATTGGTATTTTTTATTGTTCGTATGACTATGTTTATTTGATTTAAAGATGATTGAAGTTTTCGATAAGATGATTTTTCTTTCGACGTTCTTGCTAAGATAAATATCTCTTCAGTGTTGATTTCAGCGTCATCGTATTTATATTTATTCGTTGTAATTGATGTACTAATCTTATTGTCACTTGATTCATTGATTTCTTCTGTTGACATTACTATAAATAGATCAAAGTATCTGATGGGTGGCGTGATTGTGACGAGAAGTTATTTTGTCTATCTAGAAGCATAAAGAAAGAAATTCAAAAAATATTAGAAAAGCAAAATAGATACACAGACAATGAAAATGAGATATTGACATAAATATTTCCAGAATTCGATAAGAAAAGAAAATTAAAGAATAAACATTACAAATACAACAATATCTAAATATGTTGTACATATAATTTACAAACAAAAAAAGTAAAGATAGCAGTTAATTTTTATGTGTTTTTCTGCATAACATTGAATCATTTCACATTCGTACTCATGGATGAATTGCTGCACACTTGACTATGATCAACATTTTTTTTTGACTATAGGTTGTCTCTTGTAAAAGTATTCGTCAGGACCTTAAGAATATAAGAAAAGTATAATGGTAAGTCTTAGAAGATTATTATTTATAAATATACATCTTACCCATAATATAGACGAACGTTTTTTTTTTCCAATATTCAGCGGTATTATTTTGATCACGACCAACTGGTCGAGCAATTAATGAGCCGGCATCTTCAGGATTTAGTAGAACAATAGCTGGTTGTCGAAAAGTAACATCCTGATCTGTTACCCAATATTTATTAATCTATTTTTCAGAAAAGAATATATGAATCAAGACATTTAAGCATTTTTTTTGTTTTGTTTGATCACTCACATATAGTCGGTATCCTTCTTGTGTAAGTAACTGTTTTTTATTAGGATATTCAAGTTTTTTAAAATTATCCCATGGGACTTCATCATAAACAGAATATCGAGCATAATCATTCCATGCGTTTTCATTCCATTGTCCTTGAAAATAATTAACACGACCAGGTAATGATAGTGCAAATGATGTTTTGCCAGTATTAGTTGGTCCAATTAGAACGAGACATTTTGCATGTTTAACACAAGAAAAATTATGTTGAATCCATTCATTCATTGCTTCACCTATTTTGTCGAAAATAAAAAGAAGGAAAAAAACTAATTTGAAATATACTTACGAAGTTTAGGTGTACAATCAGGAAATGAATGAGGCCAAATGAATTCCTTGTGAATATCACCTCGTTGATCAACATCATGTTGTGCTCGTAAATGAACATAGTGAAATAGTGTCAAATACCTAAACAAAAGTTTAAAACAGACAGAAAGAGAGAAAGAGAAATACTATTCAAAGAGAGTGTTCTTTAGTACTACCAAGAATCACGTTGAACAGTATTATTTATCATTTCTCGTCGAATCAGTTTCATAGCATTATCAACATTGGTTTCTGCTAATTTGACTGCTTGTTTAGCTATTTCTATTCGATGTTGATATCTTTCTTCTGCTTGTGCTCTTTCCGTCATTGTTCTTGCGGCTATTGGTACTAATAATTCTTGATTATGATTTTCGAATGTTGTTGTTGTTGTTGATTTGAACTCATTTAATTCAATATAATTACCATCTTTTTTAATATGTTCATCCGAAACACAATCAGGATGTGTAGAAATGATAGACGTTGTTGAAATTTCTTGATCATTAGTATCATTTACATTCATATTTGTGATTATTTTTGTAGTAACTGGTGAAAGACCTAATTTTTGGAGAATAAATTGAGCCATTTCATCATCTATTGGTGGATTAATCATAATCCTTTGAGAAAGTTGTTCCATCTTCTGATCTCTTGCATCACTGAGAATTTTATTCAAAGCATCTTCATCTTTAGAATTCATCTTGTCGGTCTGTTCTTTTTCTTTTCCTATGACATTCATATTGTTACCAACATTCGCTTCAATGCATAAAGAAGTAGTCGAATCGATGATAGCATCTGCTTCAAATAGACGAGGTTCAATATATACCGATGACGAAGTTATATGAAAATTCTGATCAGATGTTGTATTGCCTGTTGTTGCTGCCTAGAAAGATGATGATGAGAATTTTTGAAGAAAAAAAAGAACAATGAATATAAGAAAATCTTACTGTATTTAAATTGGTTGGACGAGCTGTAGAAACCTTAGTTTCAAAAGTATTGTTTGATTGTTCGTTTTTGTCATTTGTCATAGTATTTGATTTAATAGGATCGTTTTCCATGTTAATTTTTAATGAAGTTGATGCTCGATGCAATTTTGTTAAGATACAAATTATACAATATGAAGAGCTCGAGCGGTGAAATGTCTGAAAATGTGACAGATAAATTAAAAGTAAAAATATATTTTGAATATATGAAGAAAAGTGGAATGATTATTTTTTATTTAAATCTAAAAATGAACTGAAAGTTTGGGAAGCAAGAGAGGAAAATAACAAAAACGATAGAAAAAAGTAGTTCTAAGCTAAATACAACAGATCAATCCAAAGAATGAAAAGTCAGGGTGTGGGTGTGTAAAGCTATCACATATACCTGGTATTTTCGATAATGCTGACTCAAATCTTATCAAGTGACACTAGGATACTCGTTTAAGAGATCCAGAAATTTTCTTCAAGAAAAATTTTGAATCAAAACGACGTATCATCTTCTATCTTATAAAAAGAATAGATGCACCTCAATGTAATTCAGTGTGTAAAGCTACCATAAATACCTGGAACTTTTTGTAATTATGCTGACTAATCTTATCAAATGGCACTAGGATACTTGTTGAAGTGATATAAAATTTCTCGAAATAAATTTTCGAGAGCAGGAAGGTTTCATTGAATTCAATTCATTGACTGATGCTTAATCGAATTTTCTTGTGCATATAGCAAAAGAGAGAGAGAATCTTCAATCAAAAGAAATTTTCAGAATTAGACATTAAGATTTTCTTAGTGTAACTCCTTTCACTGCACCCACAGCATTGCGATATGTGCGCGAGAGAGTACGAGTGAGCATGGTGTAGAGTGTAGGATGAAATGAAAAGCGATCGTTTTCCCATTGATATGTTCGAGTTCAGGCAAGTGTTCAATCAATTTCAATGTTTTTTCGAATTTTTTGAGCATTTAGCAAAAGTGAATGTTCAATCTAACCGGAATGTTCAATTAGGTATCACGTTTTTGGGTGTGGGTGTGTATTTTAGAATAGAACGCCGTCCACGACAACATTGTTTCTGTCATGGCAGGACTTCGTCAGGTGGAATACTTCTCAATCTTATATCTACTGAGATAATGTAATTCTAATAAATAATATGTATAATATTGATTTAAAATATAAGAATTATAATTTTTTGAAACATTTGCACATGTAAAATCTGGTTTACCTTGTAAGATGGATTGTGTGGTTTGGACTTTGGTTTTTGTTTGTGAGAGTATTCGTCTGTTCTTGCAGTGCGTTGCTGTTCTGTGTGGTTATTTTTTTGAAGTTTCTTTTGTTGTGATGTAAATGATGTATATTTTATCCTCTTGTACCAAACATCTTCCACTTGTAGAGTCCGTTTTTAAGAGTGTTCGAAGAATTGTTTATTGTATTCTTTATCGGGATCAGGTACAATAGATGGATTGGAGTTTCTTATTGTAAGTAGTACAGGATGGAATAGAGTTTCTTTTGGCTTTTGTTGTTTTTTATTGAATTCGAGAAGAAATTTATCATAACCAAAAAAGTTTTTGACGAATAATTTCAGGTACACGCCGCTGATCACCAAAATGTTGAATTGCTTTGAATACACCGAAAAGTTTTGTTGAATAGAAAATCTAAAATGAAGAAAAATCCGTTAGAAAACTGAAATAGATTAACATATATAGAACTACGAAGAACTACTAGGCTATTCGAAATCGATACTAGAAGAGTATATAATGATGAGCAAAGAAGAAGAAGTATATAGTCACTTCAGTGATTCTAATGGAGAATAGGTCACACATACACACACTATAGAGTCAAAAGAAAGATGAGATTGATATTGATGTTCAAAATCAATCTCATCTATTGAATAAACAAAGTGAGATATTGATCGACGATAAACGAAAAAAACAATGGTCATAGCAAGATTGTATCACGTTTATATATTGTTGTCGGTTTGAATTGATCTTCTTCTTGTTCGAAAAATTGAATGTTTTTCAATTGTTCTTGATAGTTATTATCGAATTGTTCAATTTCAAAATTTTCAGTTTGTTCAAAATCTTGTACTTGCTTCTGTTTCATCAATTCCCTTTCCTCATAATATTGTTTTAAACATTCATCATCGTCAAATTTTTCTTCGTCATGCAAACTAAAGCGTCGCTCAAAAGCCATATTTTGAAGTCGTTCTTGACGTTGTTTTTCTATCTATTCTTAATAATCTGTTCACATTTTTGTTTGGATTTTAATAAGACAATATCAATTTCTTTTTTTTTTGGGATTCTATCTGAAATAGAGAAGAAGAAGAAGAAGAAGAAGAAGAAGAATATAAATAGTTTATTATAAGAGATTAAACTAAATTGAAAATGAAGATACAGCTGTGGAACGGGAGTGAGAATAAAAATGAGATTTCCTTTTATATCTCTGATCGTTTAGACTTCCCTTTCATTCAAAAATGAAAGGAGAGAGAAAGCTATCTAGACGATATTATAATATAGAGACAAAAAATGAATTACTTTATCAAAACTCAAATCTATTACAAGAAGAAGAAGAAGAAGAAGAAGAAGATAGAAGAATTCTAAATCATATAAAAGTCATTGTAATGTTTGATGTTTAGTTTGATTTTTTCTAGTGTTTGTTCTTATCTTCGGATAAAGTTAGAAGATGAATAGGTGGTCGTTTATTGACGAGAACATCGTTTGCAGTTAAATTAAATGACGCATATTTTATCCTCTTGAACCAAACATCTTCCAGTTGTCGTGTCGGATCATAAGAGTCTTTGTACAATTGTTTATTGTATTCTTTATCCGGATCAGGTAGGATAGATGATGGATTGGACTTTGTCACTGTAAGTGGTACAGGATGGCATAGAGTTTCTTTTGGTTTTTGTTGTTTTTTATTCAACTCGACTAGAAATTTATCATAACGAAAAAGTTTTTGACGAATAATTTCATGTGCATGCTCAGCACCAAAACGTTGGTTTGCTTTGAATATACCGAAATCATTTGCAAATTGTTCATAAACTTGATTAAAAAAGTCTTTGGACAAATGATTTTTTTCAAACAAAAATTGAGTAAATCGATGGTCAGGGTACCAATAAAACAAATTTGAACAATATCGAACTGCACGATAAAAAACTTTTCGCAACCATTTCGATTTGTCATGTATAGGACGTTCAGTTACACTTGGAAATGAAGAATATGGTATGCAGCCAGAATCCGATTCATGATGAACTCTTGTATGAAGAATACCATCATCACAATCAAAAGTAACATCCATAAAAGATGTTGTTATGTCCAAAGAAAGAATATTCTGAAATGATGGTAGATGAAATTGAGTAGCTGCTGTATGAAGTAATGTTTCCAATTCATCTTCAGATCTATTGTATGTTATAAATGCTTCATCACGATATCTAAATAGAAAAAAAAAAAAGTAAGCAAAAGAAAGACAAATAAATTTCTATCTTGAAAAAGAAAAAAAATATGATCGGACAACAGACAAAAGATAGGACAGTACCTGCCAAATAATTCATTTGGATTTATAAAAATATGCATTAAATCCGGTCGCCAATAGAATAAATAGATATAGACTAATGAAAATGTTAATGCAGAACCAGAAGCACTACCCTTCATTTGTTGATATAATTTATTATCATAGATAAAAAATTGATTTTCCAAAACAAGACGAACCAATTCAATAATAGTATGATTAGTCATACCATGAATAAGATCATGATTTGATGTGTAATGATCAAGAAAATATTTCAATGCTTCAATTACTTGTTCATGAAAGAATGTTATACATAATTTATCAATATTGAATTTTATAAACAACGTCGTTGGTTGAAGAGTTCCTTTTTTCTGATAGAATTCCAAAGCATGAATGACATCGATACCTTTAGAAAATTGTGTACAATGAGTAACTTGATTAAAGATTGGTCCAAGAAGACGATTGAGATAACAAGCTATATTCATTGTTGGTCCATCATTACAGACCATAATTGGATGAAGTGTAATATCCATCTAGTAAATATATATATGTAGAAAAAAAAAAAAAAATTAATCTATATACATAAAAATTTCAAATATAAACAAAAAAAAAAGAGAGACATATACCTCATCTGCACTTGGAACGAAATATAAATAATTCAATCGTACTAATGATCGATTGACATTCATCATTGTATATTGTACTTCGCTAATCGATTTTGAATCAAGTAAATTTTTTAATGTAGTTTCTACTCGATGGACAATAGAAGCTAAATATTCTTGACTGACATGTTTTTGTTTTTCTTCATCATCATCAAGTTCTTGAACACATAAGTAAGCACCTGTTTGTAACATGAAATCTAATGATTTTTTTTGAAATTTCTTTGCTGAAAATATATAAACTCCAGGAGCTTTATAAGCAGCTCTTAGTATGATATTGTCCTCGATTGATTTACGTCGTAATATTAACATTTGTTGTCTTACATTAAAATCATCTTTACGTTCATCTTCATTGGAGTATTCCTTATCTATCGTACGAATACAATCATCGAAATCTTTCCAATCTAGATTTTTTAAACATTGTGGTTCATAATGATGATGAGATAATTCAGAATTAGATAATGACCATTCATCATCATCATCCCCATCACTATCATTGAGATCCTCTATTGGAAACTGATGATAATCTATTTCATTGTCATCCTCTTCTTCTTCTAATACATTGACTTCGTTGTTGGTGTTGTTTTCGTTGTCGTCAACGTCATTGACCTGATTTGCCATTTGAGTAGAATTGAATGATAAAGAAAATATATTTCTTTTTGTTGAATAGAAAATCTAAAATGGAAGAAAAATCAATAAGAAAAAAAACTACGACTAAGAGTAACATATATAAGTATGTAGAACTACTAGGCTATTTGAAATCTATAAGAAGAAGAAGAGTATATAATAATAAACAAATAAGAAATGTATAGTCACTTCACTGATTCTAATAAAGAATAGGTCACACATACACAGTACAGAGCCAAAAGAAAGAGAAAAAAAAAAGGATGAGATTGATGTTCATAATCAATCTCATCTATTGAACAAACAAAGTTAGATATTGATCAATGAAAAAAAACTGGTCATAGCAAGATTGTATAGCTTTTGTATATTGTTGTTGCTGGTTTGAGTTGATGTTCATGGTATCATGTATGGACGAATTAAATTCTTACACCAAATAACATTATATGGATGACCATAACGTTGTTGAGGATCACCACCAAGAGGACAAATCATATTCAATTTTGTTTCACCATGAATTATAAATAATGTTTCGATCAGATATCGTAATATAATCGAACAATCATCGGGTACTAAGTGATCAAAAATACAAAAAACAATAGAAAATAAATGATGAATGAAATTCATCACTTACAAACAGCAATAATGGCTACTTGATACAAATCTACTATAGAATAAGGACATTGATCAACATCAGACGCAAGAAATTGTTCGAAAAATAAACGTTGTTCTTCTCTTTGATCATACGAAAAGACATATTTAGCTGGTGCTAATGGTACTCGTTGAAGACAAGAAGCTACTTTATAATTACTATGCATACGATGAATCATATCGAGTACAACATTCACTTCAGCATTTGTTGCTATTGTTATTGTTGTTGTTGTCGTTGCTTCTTCATTCGAAGAAGAAGAAGAAGAAGTAGAGCAAGGAGTTCTTTCTTGTACATAAGCCTTATTTTCTGCTGCTGCTTCATCAACAAGCAAAGGAATAAAACACCAATAATTAGGATTACAATCGAGAAATAAACGTAGTGCTATTGGACATCGAGCAGAATGTTGATAGAGACGCATTTTACTAGTTTTTTCTCTTCTAGAAATTTAAATAAATAGAATTAAATCAAATTTTGTATCGATATACTTTTTTTGCATTACTCTAATTCGAAAGAATTGTTTGTCATATATGGAAATAGTGAATTACCAGTTAATGTTTCATGTATAATTCGATTGCCATGTTTTCGATGATCTATATTCACATACACGAAGAAAAACAAAACGAAATATTCACAAAGGTTTATACATACATGACATCGCATCAGCCAATGTTTCTGCAGTTGAATCTACATAATCATATTGACCACATGGACATGCCATAGTATAGATGATATTTGTTGTATTACAAGTCTAAATTTTAGTGATAAACTATCATCAATGAATATTCAATATTCGATAAGAACGTACTGCTGGACAATTGAGATAAGTTGTATATCCATTAATAAATTGATGCATTGAACTTGAAGCAAAATTAACAACTGGCCATGGTTGTGTTTTTTTCTCATTATTTATTGGATGACAACATGTACATGAAGGATTCTGACATGGAATCATAGAATAATTTGCTTGTGGTTCATCTTTACTACAGAATAAACCTTCTAGATTAGATCGAGGTTGAGCTCCACGAAATGAACATGTTTTCATATAGAATAGATCCACTAAAGAATATCACACAAAAAAATAGGCATGAAAAAATGATTTGCCTATAAAAAAAAAAGACTAACCATCTATTTGTAAATAGAATTCTAATGCTATAGCCATTTGTTTTGAATTGAATGCTGGTTCTTGTAAAGCTCTATCAGGCATACAGAGAATATTTCGACGAAATAATTCGTGCAATGCAAGCAGAGTACAACAAATGCTATGAAATCGATCAGCATTAAAAGTAATGATTGATTTGCCGACTTTTAAATGTCTAGCTAGTTTTCCAACGTCTTCTTCAGATAAACTGAATATATCATCACCATACTTGTACATATTCATCAGCATCAGAGCATCTGATGTATATGCTCCATTTTGACGTCGAGCAATTTCATTTGATGTAAGACAAGTTACTAGTAAATCATAGAAATAATAAAATTTAATTAGATAAAAAAAAATTTGAAATACAAACCTGGTACATTAGCCAAAAGTAGACATTCATCTTTGCCGACAGCTTTAATTGGAAATATGGGCAAATAATTATATCGTCCATTCTTATTCTTATCTGGTAATGTTTTAGATTGATACTCATGTTGTTGAATCGTATCTAATGAACTAGTATCATGTTCTAGTTGCTTGAAATCATTGTTACTAGAGTCCATTTGTATGCAAAATTGAGTTTTTTGAATTGCTACTCTTTACAATTTCGTTTCAATGTTTGGCTCTTTTTTTGAACTAATGCTACAAAGTTTTTTTTTTCTTTGTAAAAATAGTACTATCTGAAATAAAACACACGACTCAATTTAAAATCTATGAAAAACTATTCCAAGTCTTTTTACAAGTCACTACAAAAAAAAGGTAAATAAACTAAGGTGTATGTAAACATTTTACAATAAAAATTTATTGCTTACCATGTGTGTAAAATTATATGTCATAGGTATACAGTATATTTGTCAGATAATCTCTGTATATTTTTCTTTTCCAAAGACTCTTCAATATGTCGCTATATATGTATGAAAGAATTCTCAAAAAAACTAGACTTGATTCAGAAGAACTAAGACAGCAAAAGATGAATTCTATAAATTAAAGGCAAAAAAAAGAGAACATGAGTATAGAGTCAAAAGAAGGAGGGTGTGATAACAGCTATCATAATATCGATATTTCACCTTAGCAACTAGGATTATCAAACAGCACTCGTAACGATTATTTTTGTCAAATTTGAAACTAAGTTGAATCTTTCTGTATGAATATGAAAGATTATCTTGTACAGTAGTTTGTTAACAAATCTTTTATATTAAATGAAGCAAACTTCATCATTGGATGAAGTTGATCCTTCTCCTGGTTAAATTCCAAAACATGTATCAGTTCAACAGGTATTCTTTTAAGTTTTTGACAAGAGGTTGCCTGATGAAATAATTCATTAAGAAGAGAAAGTGAAAAAAAAACAAACGAGTAATATTCATTGTGTCATAGACTAGTTTCAGATTTCGAACATGTTGACAATAACAATTTTTTTGACCTTGTGAATCATTGTATGTTGATAAATGAGTCATGTGTTCAAGTGATGAATTTCTTGATCGTGTAAATGTCGTCAAATCTCTGTTCTTTTGTTATTTCTAATCAATTGAACTCAAATGTTCGTATCTAATTGTTGACTTTGATGAGTTGACACTGACGAGTCATACTATAATATACAAAGAGTAACAAATGAAATGATACATGTATGAATAAAATACATGGACATTTTCGTTATATTACTTTAATTTCCATCGAATTATTATAATGAACTATATATAGTGTAATTAATCATCTAGAATAAAAGGAGAAAAAATGAATTGAACGAAGGGGAATAACTAGATATGGAATAAATCAGAAGTTATCGGAAGAGTATAATAGAGAATGGGAGGGAATGGGGAAGGTGGGGGAAAAAAGAAACGGGGAAGCAAAAAAAACAAACAAAGTCTTATCTTGGACTTAAATGAACTGGTGAGTCTGTAGTGTTAGTGTTGGATGCCAGTTCAGGTGAGCATAAATCGATCGGAATTGGTACAGGTGTACAAAGATCGATTGTACTTGGTGTCGGTGTGTAAAGATCGATTGTATTTGATGTCGGTGTACGTAGGTCGATCGTACGAGATGTTGATGATGGTGATCGATCAACTATTTCGACCAAGTTTTCTTTTGTTCTTGTTGTTGTTGTTGTTGTTGTTGTTGATACAGATGGATTGTTTTGTTTATGCTCAGTTGTTATTTCCACCAACTCACGAAGGATGGCTGATGCATCATTTGTAGTTTGACCTATTGAATCGATAATTATATATAATGAAATTTTTCTTAAAAATAATTTTTACTTTGTTGTTGAGATAAACTACTTTGTTGTTGAGATAAATTACTTTGTTGTTGTTGTTGTTGAGATAAACCACTTTGTTGTTGAGATAAATTACTTTGTTGATGGTCATTGAGGTTAGTCTCCTATTTTATATTAGACAAAAAAAAAAAAAAAAATAACAAATGTTCATTTTTTACGTCTATTTTGAATAAAGAAATGGTATGTTGTACCTCAATAAAAGCAGTATTTAAAGGATCCGGTGTCGTCGGTGCTGATGAGTGAACAGTAATACCTTGTTTAGAGAATTGAAAATAATTATTAGATATTTTTTTGACTAAAATTTCATTTTAGTTCTCATATTTACCTATATTGTCATTCAATGCTTCTATGTCTCCACAAAATTCTTCGTCGTCAAGTAATTTATCAATTTCATCCCAAGTAGAATCTTGCTTTCGTTCTCGTGCCATGAATAATATAATCTGAAAGATAATCAATTCAATCTAGAACACAATTTTTTGAATGACGATCCATGTAATAATAATCATGACAAGACGACATAGATTGATAATTCTTACAGTTTATTTAGAGTGCGAGTGTGGGGGGGGGGGGGGTGTAAGTAGGAATGTACCAAACCCAAACCGTTTGAGCTCCAATCGAGTTTGAGCTCGATCGAGTTTGAGCTTCTATCGTGTTTGAGCTCGATCGAGTTTGAGCTTCAATCGTGTTTGAGCTCGATCGAGTTCGAGCTTTTACAATTTGGGCTCGATCGAGTTCGAGCTTTTAGGGCTTGAACTCGATCGAGCTCGAGTATCTATATTCGAGTTTGAGCTCAATCGAGTTTCCAAGTTCGAGCTTCAAATCGAGTCGAACCCAATATTTTCGAGCTCAAACGGTTTGGGTTTGGTACATATCTAATGATAATGATGATATATATATGAGAATAGTGATTGTTCAAATGACTAGTACATACAAAAAGTTTCAGTTAACTATCCTATTCTATAAAGATGAAGGTGTGTAGGAGCAACTATAATGTCGATATTTCATCGGCGCAACGAGAATCATCCGATGGCAGCAGCAGCAGTCGTCTCGATTCAAAATGAATGAATCAAAAATGAATTCGAAATCTATACTGTAGCTACTCAGCCGAGAGAGAGAGCTCTATTAGATCATAATTTACAGTGGTGTGTAGGAGTCACGATAATGTCGATATTCCATTTCCGTGTTATTATATGGTGTGTGTGTGTGTGGGGGGGGGGGGGGGGGTGTAATCGTTCTGTTTTATGTTGTATGATTTGGCTGATGTACTTGGTTTTTATTCGTGATATTTCTGTTTACTGGCGTATCTGTAGAAATGCAATTTTTGTGATCTCTTTTTGGTTTTGGTTTATTATTGGGTAGCTGTCATTAGTTTGTTTTGTGGATGTGATAATGCTATGTTCTATTCTTTAGGTTTTTCCACGGTTCAGTGCGGTTAAGCTTTATGGGTTGCTTCGCTGTGAGGTTTTTTTTTTTGTGCTGCGTCTGTTTCTAGTTTATGTATAGTTTCAGCTAAAAGGGATATTTCATTTGTTATTCGTTTGGGATGGAAAGATTTTTCGGATACTTGGTATTTCATTTATTCATTTTCGGTACCTGATCTATGTCGAATTCTGAGAGCGGGGGGGGGGGGGGGGGGTGATACATTTTGGGTGGAGAGAGAGAGAGGGACGGTGGATAAAGTGTATACAAAGAAAAATTCAGAATGCTTTTGTTTTTGTTTTGGTTTTGGGTTGATATTGGCCATTGGTTTTTATTGATAGTATGAAGTTGGTCGAGAATTGTTGGTTACATCTCGTTGTGTTTCTAAACAGTAGTAGTAAAATAAGGGTGTGGGTGTGGGTGTGGAAGACAAGCAAAAATAATGATCTGTTAGGAGCATGTGCTGAAGACTATAGTTAGTCTTACTTTCTTGTCCTTTTAGTGTGTGAGATGTTTTAAATATGATCTCTTTCGTATGAGTTCATGTTGTGAAGAGAAACTATTTCGATGGCCAACACTGAGTCGAACAGCTTCAATGCCAAGGAATTTAAATGATTCACGAAAAGTTGCATGTATATTTTTTTTCTTCATAGTTGTAAATCGTTCATCAAACGGTGGTAACAGAGAAATAACATCTGAAATAAAGAAAACAAAAAGAAAGAAAGGAACATCAAATCTATCATCTAGTGTTAATCCTATGAAATAAATATGACAACAAAAAAACAAAAAAACAAAAAAATTTGAAAAAAAGACAAAGAATCAATCTATTGTACAATTGTTTTTCGTTTTCGTTCTATGGCCAATGAAGTATTTTTGTTTCGTTGTCGACACCTAGAACAAATAGTTCCTTTCGCTCTATGAAGATGACTCAACTTCATTGATACATACTATCATTCTTATTAATTTCTTCGATTGGTGAAGTTAACAGTTGTCGGCATGGTTTATGTTTCATGATGAGATATTTTGTCATGGGATGAAAGAATATGATGGATTGCATCTGTTTCTATATCGATCATATTTTCATTGAATTGTGGTTCAAATAGAAAACATTTTTTTAATAAATCAAAAAATTGACACTTAAAATAATCCATGATGGACAAATCTGTATCCAAATTTGGATAAGATAGCGATTGTATTATTTGTATTTCCTTAGACCATTTATTTTTCAAGACAACTAATTGTGCATGACGTTTCATCACTCGTCGACGTAATGTTTCATATGGAACTCTATCAACAAGATAACTGACTTCACAAGCATAAAATTGCTTGTAAAATTGTTCAATACAATTATCCAAAAAATTTTCTGAGAAACCATATAAAAGATAGACAAGTTTAAGATAACGTCGTTCATAATCAAAACTCTCTTCACTCGAACAACATCGTACAGCATACATTAACATAGATTGTAACAATCGGGATGGTAAACAAGATGATCTTTCCGTTTGAAATTGATTCGGTAATTGGTATTGATCCATAACGGGATCATGATAAATTCGTGTATGAAGATGACCTTGATCATGAGATATTTCTACATCAAGAAAATGAAAGGATGTTCCAATGAATAGTTTTATTTGACTCGATCGAGAATGTTGATCGACAATGATAGGTTTTCCAAATAAGAAACGAAGTTGATCTTCTGATCTATTCCATGTAAGAAATAGATTATCTTGAAATCTATTGAAATTTCGTAAATATATAATTATCGAACAAGTCAACACAAAAGAACATATGTCATTTTTATTATTACCTTCCAAATAATTCTTGTTGCTTCTGAGCCATCAGTACAGACATCAATGCTGGTTGTGAATAACATAGATAGATACAAGCTAATGGAATGGTCAATGAACAACCAGAAGCACTACCTCTGGTTTGTTGAAACAGACAATTTTCATAGAGTACCATTTGATTTTCTAATACAAGATGAACTAATTGAAGAATCGTATCAATAGCTAATTCTTCGTCCATTGACACTTGAGGACCATAAATCAATAGAAAATGTTCCAATGCCTTGATCATAATTTCATGTGAAAAATTCATACAAATTTCATAAATATTAAATGTGACAAATAGAGTTGTCGATTGTAGATAATTATTTCTTGCATATGATTCGAAATTTTCAATAACATCAATACCATTGCGAAATGTTCTACAACCTGTTAGTTGATCAAAGAGGGACCAAAGTAAATTACTCAAATAACTTGAAATACGCATGGTTGGTCCCTTATTACAAACTACTACTGGTCGAATTGTATAGATATCACCCTTGTTGAAATTTAAAGAATGTACAGTATATAGTAGTATTTACGAATAACAAAACCAGAAAAAAAATGTAAACATACCTTTATTGGAGTATTTAAGGCGAAAACTAAATAACTTAATTCTACTTCTTCTGAATGACTTATTCGCATCTGATCATATTGTCGTTGGGTGATACAATTGGAATGAAATAAATCATCCAATTTCGTTTCGACTTGTTTGACAATATTGAATAAAAATTCATCATATTCAATAAGTTTCATTGTAGTCAAGTTTTTTTGAATACATTTATAGATACCTGTTAATTCGATATACTCCGAGCAGAGTAATTCGAAATCATTTGATGGAAATATATGTAAAGAATAACCTTTGTAAGATGTTCGTAAAACATAATTTTCTTTCATAAAATGATCTTGTAGATGTGAAATTCCTTGTTTCAAATGTTCATCTATCTGATCGTTTGAGTCCATATAATCAATTAATTGTGAAAAGCCATTCAAATCAAGATATTGAAGTAATTGACATATTTCTTGAGTAAAAGACAATTCATTCTTATCATCATCATCATCCTTAAAAGCATGTTTATCAAGGTGATGATTCCATCCTTCTGACATTTCGTATTCCTTTTCAATTGGTTTGATTCAAAAAATAGTTTAAAACTTATCTAGAATATAAAAAAAAAACAAAGATTAGAATATCAAAGAGATCAAGACTACTACTACTACGATCAAGTTCATCATTGTATTCAGCACATCTATGTCGACTTATCAATAATAAGTTCCAAAGAATATTGATCTCGATTCTAGATGATATTTTTATTACTTTATATACCAGCTAGATAAATATGTTTGAATGTATGAGTAAATATGATTAGAAACATAGGATTGATCATTTTCAACTACACTATTCGTAATCAAAAAAAAAAACGTAATGGAATAGACAAAAACAAAAAAACAAAAGAATATAAATCAGTTTTGATTATACGTATTCGAGATGTTTTTCATCATGATCATTCTTTTGTACTATCGTATTAGAATTTTGAGCAGATTGTTGTGATGAAATTTCAGTATTCATATGAATAGATTCATTCGAGCGAACATGTAATAAGAAGGCAAAGACGAATAATATAAAGATAATAAAAAGAATCATAAATATCCAGGTTAATCGATCAGTCAAAGTCCTATCGACATAGATGGGTAAAGTCTTTTCATTTTCATGGTGGATACTTTTGTTATCATACAATTCTAGAATGACTTGTTTCACAGCTTCAATAGTGTTGTTATTGTTGAATGTCATATAGGTACCCGTTTTATTATTACCGATTGGAAATCGAAAGTAAGTAGTATTGGACGTATTAAAAAACATTGTAATCATCTTTGTCTTCAATTTGTTTTAATTTAACAAATGAATGATAGTGTGAAGAAATCAGAATCTAAAACAACAAAAAGACGAAAGAAAAAACCTAGATATCTTACTTCTAGAGATGCATAGAATAAGTCATATTCGTGTACAATTGAAAATGATGTTTCACTAATGGATTTGTTGATAGTCAATATATAAGTGTAGATATCTATAAAATTCGATGTGAACTATTTTAAACCCTCACCCAAAGATTATCATCAAGTATACTTTAGATATATATTCTACAAAAACTATTTCTAAATGAATTCTAAACAAACGAAGAAGATGAAGAAGAAAGAAGCAGCAGCCAAGAAATAGAACCATTGAAAATGATCAACAACAACAACAACATCGATAACAAAAGAAGGAAAAAAAATGAATGGATTTGAATATAAAGGAAAAATCAGAAAAGATGATTAATGATTTTGTTTGTATAAAATGTAAAAAAGCGAACGGAAAATTTAGGTTAAGTAGAGTGAGAACGTAAAAAATAACAAAAACGATACAAAAATAAGTAGCTATAAACTAAAAAGAAAAGAGCAAATAAATTCAAAAAAAGAATGAAAAGTCCACACAACAGAACTCATATAGTCATGTAGAGTGACAACAACCATGGGTGGTGGTTGAAGATCAGGAAAAATCTTAAGTAAATTAGACAAATCTGATCATAACTTCTGTGTCATTTTACATCTTTTATTAGTAAAGGATGAGATGGTTTGTATTCACTAAGTAATGTATTTAATGTATAGGGATTTTTAGTTGATACAATTAATTGTAAATCTCTATATTTTGATAATGGATCATGTGTATTTAAATTTTGTGTGAAAATTTCTTGTAATTGTTGATTAAATTGAAGTTTCGGACCAGAATCATATAGATAAGATAATCGGAATCGTTTTTTCGCCCGTTCTAAGCGATGATAGTTCTGTATCATACGTTTTTGTTCATTGATAAAATTAAATAATCGAAGTCGAAGTTTGTTGTAAACGTGTTGATCTAAATCTGAACGGAGTGATAGAGCATTAAAATGAGTAAAAAATTGTTCGATGCGTTTTTCGACGAATTCAATTGTATAACCATTGGCTAAAAAAGTGACTTCAAGATAGATTCGTTCTTGATTAAAATCATCTACTGATGTACAATATCGAACAGCTCGAAGTAAAGATGTTCGAAGCCAATGACTATGTGCTTCTTTACTATGACCAGTGATGACATAAGGAAGAGTATATTTTTGTATAGTTGAATCATGATGAACACGACTATAAAGAGTACCATGTTGATTTTCAAGATAAGCTTGTAAAAAGGTAGCATTACTACCCATTTTTATATCGACATGTATATTTAACTTGTCTGTATTCGCCATTTCAATCATATGGATAAGATTTTCTTTAGTATCATTCCAGGTAAAAAACAATTGATTATGATATCTTTTTGAAGTTGAAATAGAATGTAAACACAAGAAGAAGACAAAAAAAAAATAGAGAAGAAGAAAGACATTTACCTGCCGTAAAATTCTTTTTCTAATAATGATTGTCGAAAGAATGATTTGAACCAAGGTAATACGTAGAGTGTCGCTAACGTTTCACTGAATGGAAAACAAGTTGGACTACCTTTAATAAAACGATAGATCTTATGATCATAATAGAATCGATTATTGCGTAGAAACAATGTAGTTAAATCGTAAATTTTCTGAATTGAAATCCCTTTTATTGTTGACAGTTGACAGGGATCTTTCAAGTAATGTTGAAATTCAAGTAGTTGTGTATCATGATCTACCATAGAATAAAAATTTAAAATTGTAATAGTAACAAAATTTGTCGTAGAACAAAAAGAAGGACTCGTCGATGTTTCTTCAATATAATCATTCAATTTTCGAATAAAATCAGTCCCATTAACAAATGTATAACGATCGATATCTAGTGAAACATTCGGTCGTAAGACATCATCAAGAAATTGAGCAATTCGAACTGTTTCACTGTTTTGTGCAGCAACCATCGGATGTACTGTCATGGTCATGTTCTATGAAACAGAAAATTTTTGAATGATATATATATATGTAGAGACAAAATTGTTGAATCAAAAAAAAACAAAAAAAAAAACAGATAGAACTTACTGGTAATATTTCTGGTAAAAAATATAGATAAGGTAATTGAATTTTATCAGTCAGAATAGATAATTTTTTCAAAATCTCTTGATCATTTTTGTGATAAAAAATAGATCTTAATCGAATATTCATTCTTTCAATAGCTAATGTTAAATTATGACGTGTTGCTTGAAGATTATTATCATCAATATCTTCACATACTATGAACATATCTGTTTCACTCATATAATTATGAATTTTTTCTTCAAAGATCGGACGATGTAGAAGACAAAAAACATTTTGTTGTTGATTGGCGACTCGTTTTAAAATTAAATCATACTTTTGTAAATGCTTTCGAATTGAATCAATCATTTGTTTTTCATACAAGGCACGACGTTGATAAAGTCTACTTGGTAGTAGTGAAGAAGTTGAGAAAAGTTGGTGAAAAAGTGTTTTAATTTGCTTTCGAATAGACATCGATTGGAGTCCATTGATTTCACATTTAGCAAACATTCTATTGAGATCATGTTGTATAGATTTATATTGTTCTTCAATGATTTTTTCTACATTTATATCTCGAAGTGATGATAACATGTAGAGTTGACCCGGTGGTATATAACATGGTCCACGATTCAATAATTTCAATTCTTCTCGACTAAATAGATGTAGTACAGTAGTGGCAATCATTGTCGGTGAGAAACATATACTTGGTAGATTCAATTCATAGGATACATTATCATAAGAATGTTGTAAAAAATAATTCATTTTAAATGTTGAACTGTAGATGAACTTTTTATAGATGATATCAAGACGTCGATTCATAAGATCGATGAATTCTTTAGATAAAATTTCCATTTGATTTTCATTCGAGTTCGACAATTGTGATTTCGCGTCATTCAATTTAATTTGATATGGAAGAATTTTTCTTTCGACTTCACGGATCGTTTCTACTACAAGATCGGTCATCTGTTGTTGTAAAAATTTTTCGTCTCGTTCGATTGCTAATTGATAAAGAGTAGGATCTGTCATAGACAATGATGTGGATGTATTTTGGAATGATAATGCTGTGTGATAAAAGGATAGGGTTGGTTTATTACAGAGAAGTCGTTGTTTTAAATAGAAAACTTCCTGTTTTGCTTGAACATAGGCTGTTGTATAATTATAGATATGTTTTATCGCTTGAATCTATATATATATATATATATATATATATATATGTGTGTGTGTTTTGGAATGAGAAGAAGAAGAAGAAAAAACAACAACACTATCACAAATGACGAATCTTACTTGATTTTTAGTCGGTTTCAATTGTAAGTAAGCTTGTTCAAGTAATTGATCATCATAATTAAATTCTAAGATTGCTATTCTATAGTTGAATTTTAATCGAAATGGCACTATACTATAGTGTTGAATAAAGGTTTCGATTGCTTGTTCCATTTCATTTGTAAAACCAATGAATTGTGTTTTCTTCTCATGATATTCCATCGAATAGAATTCTATTTTCTCAAACAAATCTTCAACATATTGATGAACTTTTCTTTCATAAACTTGTTGTTCAGATTCACCTGTATTGCTATCCTTCGCAGTTGAGGCTGCTGAATGAAATTTTTTTTTCACTACTCCAGGCCAAAGACGTCGATCCACATTAAGTTTCATACGTTCGGTTGTCATTCGTTCACCTCTTCCGAATTGCAAATAGATCAACCAAAGTTTCTTTTCCAAGTCAATTTTAGCAATTCTATGTTTTAAAATTGCTAAATCTCTTAAATCATCCAACGTAATTTGATTCGTAAGTTTGGTTAGATACGGTTGCATTTCCTGTTCAAACATATCTTCTATGACTTCAAAATAGTCCGATAGTTGATCATCATCAACATGTTGATCTTGATCTTGATCTTCATTTTCTCTATGACTACTATTCCATGAATATCTTCGTTTTGTTGTCCACATCTCTGATGTTGTTAAACAAGAAGAAGAAGAAGACGAAGACGAAGACGAAGAAGATGAAGGTTTGTTTTTGTACCATACTAAATCTTCATTGACTTGTTGTTGTTGTTCTAGAGAGGAGGGATCATTCGTTGATATTTGACTTAACTTTTGTGAGAGAAGTACTCGTGTTTCCAACATCTAAATCATTGGACAACATTCATTTTTTTCATTTCATTTCGTTTCTATTATTTATTCTAAATCAATCGTAGTTTACTTTTTCCTTTTCATCTTTGTTGCTGATCGATTCTTGTTGCTGAAGAGAAATGTGATATGGCTCGTCAATAATCTCATGTATAGGATCCAAATTAAACTCTTCATAGTAATCTTGCATAATCTGTTCCAGATGATCGTCCGTTTCCTCATCGATTATATCAAAGATATTATACATCTCTTGCCATTGTTGATTCTAAAATGCAAAAGAATTGATAAATTATACAATTAAATATTTTAAATCTACAATAAACTGACCATTTCTTCCGTATTAGCAGAAAGCTTGACTTGTTCTAAGGTAGGATCAGTAGAAATTTCCATTGCTTAACCGAAGCACAAATCGATAAAATGCAATTGAGCTTAGTTAAAACTTAATCTAAAATGATTTCAACAAAAACACTATTATCATCCATCAATGCTATATAGGAAACAAAAAACAAAAAAAAGTTTCGTTTAAAAACGTCAAAAAATCATCTTGCACTAAAATTGAATGATTAGAAATCAATGAAATAAAACTACAATAATAGAGAGGAAGAAGAAGAAGAAGAAGAAGAAGAAGATCTGCTTTTTCACACATATGATGATTGATATTTGCCAAAGAAGCGGAAAAACGAAAAAAAAACAAACTACACTACACTAGCGCGTAGGAGAATGATAGGAGACATGCAAAATGTCAGAGAGAAAATCTACATATATATATATATGTCAATCTCTATTGGTTGTTCAATGAGTTTGTTTTTTTTCAAGTTAACATTCCAGCAATTCGAGGATGTATTAAATCTTTACACCAAATTTCATCCATACTATCATCCGATGTTGTTGCTGTTGTATCTGTATCTGTGATCAAAATATTTAATTTGGGTTCAGCATAAACAATTAATAAAGCTTGTATGACATGACATACTGCATTGGATGCATCTTCAGGCACTACCAAAAAAAAAACAAAAACAAACAGAAGAAGATGAGCGCACACAAAAAAACAAAAAAAAAAAAGAAATATGACACTATTCTTAGTGTCAGAGAAATCACATAGATACAGTTGGGCATCTACATATATATAAGTTACTTACAAGCAATGACAATCGCTGCATCGTATAGACTTAGAAAATGTGATACGAAACGCTCTTTTTTCCCACGAAAAAATTCATATTGCTCAAGTTTTTGTCGTAATGAATATTGATAATTCAGCGGTGGTGGAGGCAAATATTTGATACACCATTGGACAAGACTTAATTCACGTATATATGGATTAGTAGTAGTAGTAGTTGTTTCAACAATAGATGAACTTTGATATTCTTCTAAACGATTTCTTTCATCTACACTTAATGTAGCATTATCCATAAGAACTTGTTCCTTAGTCATCGGTACTAAACACCAAAAATCAGGATGACCTTTTAAGAACATTTTTATAGCTACTGGACAGTAGGTCAAATGTTCGTACAATCGATTTTCATGATCAGGAAATTTTCTAAAATGTAAAAATAAAAAGAGTTCAACGTAAGATGACAATGATATATATTTAGAAAAATATCTAAAGAAGAATTAGACTTGTAACATACGGATCTGGTGGTCGATCATCTTGTAAACGATCAGCTACAATTTGACCAAGAAAAGAATTTGCTACCAATCGTGTCCCATAGATTTGATGATCTGTACGAAAAAGTATGAGCAGCATGATTAAGATAGCACAAAAATGTCCCATCGAACTTGAACAAAATTACCTCTCATACGATCACGAAACATTTCTTTACATCGACCAATATAATCAAAACGCTGACAAGGACATGTCAATGCATAGATGACATTCGATGTTTTACATGTCTAAAATAAGACGACACATGATATGTTCAATGTAGATTTTTTCAAATATGATAGACACTCGACAGAAAGAGACATAAACTAATTCAATCAATTACTTTCACTTACTACATTACAATTTAAATATACTTCATAATTATTGACAAAACGATGTAGTTGAGTATCAGAATAATGTATAGTAGGTTCAAATCGATGAGTTAGATAATGTGATTCATAACAAAAACGACAGGTCTTATTTTGACATCGTTTCATACCATATTTAGCTTGTGGTGATTGGATACAAAATATGTCATCCTGTTCCATATGCGGAGGAGGTATTGCATCACGAAATCTACATGTTTTCATATAGAAACAGGAACCTAAAAAGTATTCGCAAATGCTTCTCTTTCAATATATATATATATATATATATATATGTATTATTGTTCTTTTTGTCTATTTTCGATACGAACCATCCATTTGTAAATAGAATTCTAACATGAGAAACCATTCTTCTAAAGAAAAATCATATGATTTTTTTAAAATTTTTTGTTGTTGGATGAAATATTCTTTCAATGTGAATTCAGGTGGTAACTGATATAATCGATTTAAATTAATCATTAATATTGATTGATGTACATTCCATTGACGGCCATACGATTGTAATGCTTGTTTCATTTCAATTTCGATATTTTTGTTTCTATAAGGTATGTTTATTTGGTAATTCTCTTCGAATCGATTCACTTTGCGAAGTTTTTTTTCCACATTCGTTAAATTATTTTCTAGAGAAATGTAACGAAAAAGATACACAAAAACATATATATATAAACAATAGAGACAGAACAATCCATATCATTACGACTACTTACCAGATTCATTGACTAATAGTGGATAAAATTCATTGGAATCATTCAATAAACAAGCAACTGGTTGAAACGTTCGTTGACGAGTAGTGAGATTTCTCGATGGATGAATTTGACATAATTGAGACTCTTGAAAATTTATCGGAATTGGTAGCCAAAATTCGATTTGTTGTTGTTGTTGTTGCAATGTTGCATTGGCAAGATCTGCTGCTGCTTCATAAGTCATATTTATATTAGCAGTTGGATTTTCAGCCATTTCTTCAAATGAAATTTGAACTCCAAAAAACAAACAAAAATACAGATGCAATGACAAATAACTCTTTGTAATTTGAATAGAATCGACGATTTATCAGTCTTTTTAAAGATTAAAGAATTTACAACCGAGAGAGAGAGAGAGAAACAAAAAGCGAGAAGAAAATTATTCCTATTAAACTATAAAGTATGAAATTTAATCAAAGACTGACTCATCTAAAATGTACTTCCTGTTGTAATGCCAATAAGAAAGTTATTCGGCGGTGGTATGGTGTGCTGTTTGTAATCATATGAAAAAAAATCTACAAGCAAAAAAGATGGAAAAACCAACGTTCAACCTATTAAATATGTATTGCAGTAATAGTAAAACAAAAGGAATATTCAATTAAGAATGCTTTTTTTTTTTACTACTTGTAAACAGTAAAAGAAACACAAAAGTGGCAGTAAAACAATAATATAATGAATGCTATCTGACAATAGGAAAAAACAAAACAAAAAAAGACTTTTGTAGATTTTCACATCTGTGAATAATCTTGAATATATTGGATCAATGCCGCCGTTTTATCAGACATGTGGCAACCGATAAAGAAAAACAAAAAAAAACAAACAAACAAAGAAGTCTATGAACCATCTCCTCTTTTCATAGAGATGATAAGACGAGCAGAAATAAACAAAAAAGGCATAATGACGACGACTACTACTACTACTACTACTACTTCTACTTCTAGGTTTATAAAGATCAACAACATTGAGAAATAATTAAAGATTCATATCTTCAACAAAAGTAATAGCAAAGACAAGAGCAGAGTTTTTATTACTCGATACCAGCAGGTTTAGCCAGATGATACAGAATGTTTCTACTCTACACATTCTTATCACTATGTAATTATTTTTTTTCGTGGTTTACGTGTTGATTTTCTTGGCATAACTGGTAATGAATATGATGTCTCCTTTTGTTGTGTAGCTAATCTATTAGCTGCTTCTTCTGCTATTTGCATGGCAAAAGCAGCTGTTGCTTTCATGTCTTCTGCTCTTGCAACGGCTTTCGCTGCTAGTTGACTTGCAAAGTCGGCTAACCCACGTTTCGTACGAACTTCTATTTGTAATTGAGCGATGGGATCCAATGGCCATGTACGAAATGCTCGTTGGGTACTCGATTTGAAATAATTAAATTCCACAAAATTCAGTGTCTTCTTTATATAGGCATTCCAAGCGACATCATTTTTAGTTACCTGATAATTACATTTCGAATTTGTAATTGAATCAAGAAATAAAGTCTTCTTATTGATCCTTTTTTTTAAAACAATTTGTATTTCTAAGATACTTTGCTGATTGAGATCACTCTGTGATTGAGCCACACATAAATATTGAATATTATCTTTTGGAAATTCTTTCTTTAAAAATTTCATCAATCTCTCTTTAGTAAGTTTAGTATAAGTGGCAATAGCAAATACACGACGACTTAAACGATAACTTTTTCTAGGCCCATTCAATAATATTGGTGTTGATGGTGGTGGTGGCGGCTGAATATTAAACCGACAAAGTTTGACCATGGTTGCTCGATCAATATTTTGATATTGTACGTAAGGTCGATCATGATCTGAAACTCGACCAATTCGACATACGGGTGGATAGGGTGCACTGGTTACCATACTGGATGATGTTTGGTTAGATGATATTAATGTTATATCATTATCATCATCATCATCATCATCATGATCATCATTATTGAAACAAGTGTTACAATTATCTATGTTTCCATTGACTGCTTCTTCTTCTTCGTCATCGTCGTCGTTGATTTCTTTTTGTATGATATTCAATAAATCTTGAATTTGTAGGATATTCATGGCATTTCGATCGGCTTCAATACATTGAAGAATGGTGGTATGTTGATCAGATTCCGTTGTCAATGGTATTGATGCATTAGGAGCAGCAACAGCAGTAGCAGCAGCAGCAGTAGCTGCTACCGAATGATCATCGTCGAATATATCTCGAAAAATATCCGGTGTGGATAGACGCATTGGTGTATTCAAGCAAGATAAATTGTTTGCATTAGTATCTATATCAATGAAATTCCAATCAATTAGTGGTATATCATTGAGCTAGAACAATTTTGAAACAAAGTTATTAAAATCTCATTCATTAAATATTCCAAAAATGCTTTTCTAAACTTATGACTTACGTCAATATTGGATATATATTCGTCGAATATGTTTGGAGAATGAAGTTGTGTCAAATATGCGAAATCATGCTTTTCAACATCCAATGGCAGCATATTTGGAATGAAAGATGCTAATGAAACATTTTCCAAATCCATGTCGAGTTCGTTGAAAGATGACATTATCTAAAATATAAACCGATATGCTGCTTATCTTATTCCTAATACAATCTCTTTTGTGGTAAGAGAACAAACAGAGAGAGAGAGAGAGAAGTTAGATAAAAGAAGTATCGTGGACAAAAACAAAAACAAAAAAACTTAGGACCTTATTCGACAATCTAAAAAAAAAACAACAAACGGATTAAATAAATCCATAGTCATATCAGAGAAAACTTCGATCTAAACAAGTAGAAATCGTATCTTTCAGTTTCACTGTGTGTTTTGTTTGTCTAAATTGATTTTGGTCTAACTGGATCATAGTACGAAATTATATACCACACCATCCGTCATATTGATATAGAAGAATTTTTTTCCGCATCTGAGAAGACAAATATGCATTGTAATGTTGTCGTCGACTAATACTTTTTTGTTATCTACAACAATTCAAACAAAACAAATCAATTGGAACTTGAACGTTTCTCAATAGGAAGATTGGCGTTAACCTAAGAAGTACGAGAGAGAGACATTTTTATATATATAGTTGGTTTAGAGACATGGAAATATATGCTTCAAACATATCGGCGGGAAAAAAAAGGAATAAGAACAACAAGGAACAAAAGAAATAAGATAGAGTACTAGATCAAAGAATGAGCGATTGTGAAATACATGCTAAATTGTTGTCTGAACGTTTATAGTCGTCATCCAGGGAAACACGTTAATATGATTCCTGCCAAATTTTTTCATCATAACGAAGTAAAGATTGTTTTCGATCTTGCAAATACTTTTGAACATGACGACGTAATCGATCATAGGACATTTGATCAAAGGATTGATCTGGACCGAATAGACGTATTTCAGATGTATGAAATTCCATTAGAAATGATTTTATTTGATCACAAATAAAATGCTTTGAGAATTGATTATATTCCATAGATTTTTGTAAATAGTCCACCTCGCACATGAAATCCAATACATAAGTATAACAGCATATAGCACGGATAAGACTGGCACGTATTAATGTTAGATAATTATGTCGCGGATGACCAAAGATATATGGTAAAGCATACGGTTCAACATTCCAATCATGAGCTACTTTGATTTCAAGATTACCTTTATTATGACCGATATGATAATCAAGAAATGGAATACATTGATCGATAGTTACTAACAGTGGTATGGTTGGTAATTGTCTCCGTAAAGTTTCTAATAGAACATCTTCTAGATTTTGTTTTGATTTATTCCAAGTGAAAAAGATCACATCCAAATTTCTACAAAATAAATAAATAAATAAACAAAAGTAGAAGAGCATAGTAACAAAATATGCTTTTTTTATTTTATTTTTTTCCATAGCACATATATATGTATGTAGAAAGGCCATGGAAATTCACACAAAAAGATGATATTCCTACCTTACAAAAATTTCGTTA